ACTCTGACATACACGGGAACACCATGAGTGGGATCTACTTATGAAAAACCATCCACTGAGAACCCTGTGGGCACAGTTCTACTCTGACACACACGGGGACACCATGAGTGGGATCTACTTATGAAACACCATCCAACCCTGTGGAGCACAGTTCTACTCTGACACATGTGGGGTCACCTCCGTGGTAACTGGCATTACTTTGGTGACATGTAAGGATTGGACTGACCCCTTGACTGTTACTACCAACCGGGCCACCCCTGTCACACGGTCACCCCTTGTTTCTGAATTGATCCCAAGCCCTGCTGAGCCTACATGTGTCCGAGTGGAACCACATTCCATGTCTTCCAAGGCTAAGACTGCCAGGCATCACTGGGTGGGCTCAGCCCTTCAACTTTTAGTGAGCGCTGGCACCACTCAGATTCCTGTCATCCTGTCATGTGACACACCCCACCTCCTTTACCTGCAGGGCTGGGGATGAACTGCTGGCTCCACATAAGTGAAGTTTCCTGAAGTTCTAAACTCATCATATTTTAAACATTTTGAATGGAAATCTTTAAAACGTACCATGTAGTCCCTTACTGCCTTAGACAAGCTGCAGTGAACAAAACGTCAACGTGCCGTGTCATTAGGAAAGGATTATTGTACTAGTGTTCATGACTACTGGGTTACCTATCCTCAAAGATGCAGATTTTCGTCTTCTAGACTTAGAATTGTCCGTAAACATGGCAGTTGTTAAATGCTGTCAGGTCAGTTCTGACTCTAAGCGACCCTGTGTGCAGTTTCTGAGGGGTGGCTGGTAGGTTTGAATCTGTGACCATGCGGTTAGCAGTCCAATGCTTATCCTACGGAGTTACACCAGGACTCCAAACTCGTGACTAGTTAGGCTATAAATAAAGGCTTGCTGGAATCACCTTAAACTTGCATGGACTTTAAAATCCCAACTAAGTAGATGCTATTTCTTTGACCTTTACTTTTACTCTATTTTGAGTGGCTACTACAAGGCGGGAATTGTAGAGCAAACATAATCCTACACAATCCTTGCAGACGATGGTACATGCAGGCTACCATCGCTGCAACGCCGTCCTCAGGAGCACTTTAGCTGTCAGGGGCAGTGACCAAATGTAGCCTGCTTTAAGTAGGCCAGCCTCTCTGCAGGTGACAGTCAGTGTGTTTCGGCGTGGGCCTTGAGAGCAGACTGAAGGACTTTCTGGCTCCGAGTCTCTGCAACAATGGGCTGTTGATCATGCAAGACTTTTATGCTGATTCAGCTGAGGGAGATGGTTGGGTTGCCACACAGGAGTCACACCATTTCAGAAGTGGGTCACAGGTTGAGAGTCATCTCAGGGCTCATTAGCAAGGTTCCGGAGCGTGGGGAAGAATTCGCTCTGTGTTACTACTGCTCACTGGAGTCCCAGGTGTGGCTTGCGTCTGCAGTTGCGTAACATGGCGCTCTTAGTTTTGCAAAAGGTAAATTCCATGTGAAACCTTGGTGGTGGTCTTGGGCAGGCTGTAATTTGGCCATGCGATCTGCTCCACAGGCTGGTGGATTTGTAGCCCAGGGTCTGACAAGTTCCAAAGATGATAATGTGACTGTAGTTACAGCGTGGAAGTTCAGTGATGGGAAGACCTTTCTCTCTCCCCCAAATCACACAGCCTTCTGCGGATGATTACATGGGCATGATCAAGCGGAGTCCTTCCCCGCCAGAGGCCTGCAGGCCTCAGCTCCTTCCGGACTGGTGGACGCAGCAGGCTGGCCCAGGTGAGCATCTGCAGCCCATGGTCCTGCTCTGTGCTTAGTGCACCCTGAGAACGGGGCGTTTGGAACTATTGGTGACCCCAGAGCAGTGAAGACGTGAGCCTTTGGTGACAGGGTGGCTAAGTGGAACTGAGATCCTCAACACTCTGGCCTCTCACATGCTGCCGTCCAGGGGGAGATGAGTCCAGTCCTGGGAAGGTGGGAGGCAGGGGTTTAACAAAGTTTTCCAGACCTAGGAGAAGATGTGTCCTGGACTCAGCCAATCTGTTCCCAACATTAAGGCCCTCCTCAGAACCACAGAGAGCTCCAGGAGTCTGCCGGAAGCTCTGGTCAGGAAGGGGAGAATCTCCCTGAAACAGGGGTTGGAGTCTTGGGAAGTTGCAGAACTTATTCAGCCTCAGTGTGCTCATGAAAAAATGGAAAATCAGGCCTTGTCCTGTGGGGTCACGAGGTTAGCGAGGCATGCAGGCCTGAGCGCACAGTAGACGCGTCACCCGTGTGTCAGCTCACACTCCGCTCCCTCCCAGGTTCTGGGTCCCCCAGCTCTGTGGGCAGACCAGGAGGTTGAGGGCTGACCCGTAGGTTTCCAGCGCTGCCCAGTCAGAGCCCCTTTCCCATGTGCTAGGAAGGCCCCTCAGGGACAGCCCTGGACAGTGGGCATGCACTCCAGTGGTGTTTCAGGAGCAGGCCTTGTGTGGGAAGGAAGCATGGCCCACAGTGTCACCCTGACACGTGGCGACAAATCCCACAGCTTAGAGGAAGTCCCCTCCCCCGTCCCAGTCTGGTGGTGACCTGGCTTCTATGTTTATGAGATGTGGTGCCGCACTGGTAGGGAAACAGGCTTGGCGGAAGTCTGCGGCCAGGCCCCCTGAGCACGCATGTGTGGTTTTAAGAAGCTTCTGGAGATGGGACACTTGAGTGGGTTCCCTGGACAGGACAGCGGGGTCTATCTGAGTTTGCTTATCTCTTTCTCTGCCAGCCTTACCACTGGTGACGGGCTACACTGCTTACGAGTCTCAGCACTCAGGTATGGATGCACATGGGCCGGGCTGGGGCTCGGGTGGGCTTTTAAGGCCTGTAAGGCCCGAATGGCATGGGTGGGGTTACTCAAGTCTGTGAATGAGTTCAGACGGGTGGCGGAAGTTGGGAACCTGGCTCCTTGTGTGGTTTGGGAGCAAGTGGCCCGGGTTCACTGAGCCTCATCTTGTGTTCTATTGGTCATGGTGTTTCTATTGGATTGGATCAACCAATAAAGACTCAGTTACTGTGCCTCAGGTCACAGTAGAGGGTCTGGACTGGGCTGGGAGTGTGTCTGTCTCCACACCCTTTCCAGGGGTAACTGTAGGAGGATGGCAGAGTGTGGGGACAGACACTCACGGTCCTGGGCTGCCCTTCTGGTATGATGCAAAGGGAGTGAAAAACCTCTCAACCTCAGACTCTTTGTCTGTGATAGGGGAACACTAATAACAGCTAGTTCATGTGACTATCGTAAGGATAGAACACAGTGATTATGAAAACCTTCTAGCAGGAACATAATTGCTCCATGAATGTCATTGATGTCAGCTATAGCAGACTATCAACCCAGCTTGGTGGTGGTGGTGATGACAGTGAGGTGGATGGTGGTGATGAGGAGGATGGTGGTGATGAGGATGGTGTTGATGAGGATGATGGTGGTGATGATGAGGATGGTGATGACAATGAGGAGGATGGTGGTGGTGGTGATGAGGATGACGACGGTGATGGCAACAGTGGTGAGGACAATGACGAGCATTGCTTTGATAGCACTGAGGGTGATGATGACCATGGTGGTGACCGTTACTGATCCTGCCTCATTCAGACCCTCCCACCCCTTGAGTCGAGGCAAGTACAGCTTTTTTTCCCATTTCACAGTCTCAAAGCTTAGTTGTTGGGAGTCATGCTCCTGACTCCTGCAGGCAGTGACGACCTCTCTATATGTCCAGGCCCGCGCGTCTGCAGAGTTGTCTTGCATCCAGGGCCTCTGGGTAAGCTGCTGCCACACTCCTGGGATTTACGCATGGGGTTTGTTGATGCACCTTCCGCATCTCCCCCAGCATCTGTTGGGCTCTGTGGGGCCTGAGAGCTTCAGGGTGGGGCTTGTGACCTCATGCATAGAGGAGGTGAGGTGTCCTAACCGGGCTATCATGGGAAGGCCGTTTTTCTGGTGGAGGCTGTGGGTCCTTGCCAGGCAGCAAAGAACATAAAGCAAGCAGCATGTCCACTTTGCTGGGCTCCGGACAAGCCTCCATTGATGGGGTTTTTTCAGTGACCCAGGACTCCTGCTCTACAGAGGAGGAAACTGAGGCTGAGGGGTTTGACCACTCATCCAAGGCCAAATGGCTTGCAGACAGGACCTGGTCGTGAGACAACTTTGTGCTGAGGGCTCCATGACAGCTTGTGCCTGGGGTCAGGGTGTGCAGGACCAACCCCTTCAGTCCTGGGACCGGACCTCTGACCTGGTTAGAGCTGGGCTGTGACCCAGGAGTCTGCTGACGGCTGCTTCCTGTGGGCGCTGAGGGAGAGGTGAGGACAAGGCTGAGGAAGTCTCCTTGAGTTGTTGCAGAAGTCTCCTCAGCACTGTGGCGGAGAAGCAGCTCCCAGCGCCACCTCACGCATAAAGCACCCCATATGATTCTTGTACAAGTTGTGGGCTTGGGGTACCTCTGTTTAGTTCCTGCGTAAATGTAACCTCTGTGTAAATGTCACCCTTATAGGTCGGGAAATGTCCTAGACAGGCAGGATTAAATTACGGGTTAAAAATAGAAGGTTAGGGGTAGCTAATGTTACTTCTTGACCTTATCCTGTTTACTTCCCGAGGAGCTTTGGTGGCGCAGCAGTGAAGCACTCAATTGCTAGCTGACAGGTTGGCGGTTTGAACCCATCAGCAGCTCCGTGGGAGACAAGACCTGGCAGTCTGCTCCTATAAAGATTGTTGTCAAGTGCTGTCAAGTCGGTTTCGACTCATAGTGACCCTGTATAAGATTTCTGAGGAGTGACTGGTGAGCTTGAACCGCCGACCTTGTGGTTCATTAACCCTGAGCGCCACACTAGGATATCCTGGTGAAAATGACCAAACCAGAAAGCAAAGCTACTGCCACCAGGTTGGTTTCGACTCATTGCGACCCTGTATTGGGTTTCCAAGCTTGTAAATCTTTACTGGAGGACAGTTCTCTGTCACATGGGGTTGCTACAAGTGGGAATCGAGCCCCAACACACAGCAGCGTATTGCTGGGTGTCCTGGTTCTTAACTGCTCAGGGACCAGGTTACGCAATGATGACAGAGGGAACTCTAGGGGGCGCCGTAGAGCTGGGTGGCCCCTGGGCTGGTCCGGACACTTAGAAGGTCCAAGCACACCCTGTACTTGGTTGGTGGCAGCAATTCTTTGGGTCTAAAGCAACTAGAATGTAACGGCCACTGGGTGGTGGTCTCCCCTCAGCTCTCATCTTCATTCCTACCATGTTACCAGTCAACAGCCATCCCGCCTCTCCCCCCGCACGCCCAGCGCCCTCATGTGTGTTCCAGCAGAACTGTGCTCTACAGGGTTTGCAATGCTGGGTTTTCAGCAGATCACTAGGCCTTACTTCCTGGGAGCCTCTGGGTGGATTTGAACCACCAACCTATTGGTGAGCTGCCAAGCACGTAACTGTGTCACCCAGGGATTCCCAGAGAAGGAAAGGCTCTGGGTGTTTGCATACAAAGCACTGCCCTTGAGTCCCCCCACCCCTCACCTGTCCCCATCTCATCCCACAGCATTCTCCCAGATGGCGATCAGCTTCTACTATGGTGGCAAACTGGTGGGCCAGGCCCTGACCAGCTGCCCTGATGGCTGCCGCCTCGTCCTGGGCCATTCAGGCCTGCCTGGCACCAAGGTGTATGGGCCTGAGGGCTTGGAGCTGGTCCGCTTCCCACCGGCCGACACCATCCCCAGCGAGAGGCAGCGTCAGGTGACGCGGAAGCTGTTTGGGCACCTGGAGCGGGGCGTCGTGCTGCACAGTAGCCGACAGGGTGTGCTGGTCAGGCGGCTGTGCCAGGGCCGAGTGTTCTGCAGCGGAAATGCCATAGCCTGCAAGGACAGGCCCAACAAACTGGAGCGCGACGAGATGGTCAAGGTCTTTGACACCAGCCAGTTCTGCCGAGGTTTGTACCTTGATCACCTGAATCAGAGGGCTGCTGTCGAGTGTGGGTGAGGGGAGTGGAGGGGGTGTGGAAAGGTGGTCCTGGGTCCAGCCCACCTGGCTTTGCACCTCTGCAGTGAGGGCTCCTAGGCACCTTTCTAGACCTCATTGTACTCACGTGTGAAGGGGACACTGTAGAGATCAAGGAACTGAATACACATGCTCTCTGGATGGGCATACAGACACTGTGGGGCAGGTGGGCCCAGCAGGAATTATGGGATCAGAGTTTACATCTCAGCCAGGTCCCCAAGGCTTATGCACACATCCTATTTGGTCTTGTTGTTAAGTGTCATCTAGTCGATTCCAACCCATAGCGACTCTGTATAGGGTTTCTGAGGAGCGGCTGGGAACCTTTCAGCTCAAACTGACTTTGCAGTGCATCTCATTAACCCACAATGCCACACCAGGGCTTGGTGGTGGTATTTCTCATTCTGTGAGAGGGGATGTCTACGACCCCCCCCCCCCCCCCACTCCATGAGCTCATCCCAGAAGGTTATGATGTCTGGCATCAATCAATCTGAACCGGCCCTGCGCTCTCTGCTCCCCTCCATGTGATAACAAGCTCCTGTTTTACCCCCAGCCAGAGCACCCCTGGAGGATTCCCGGAGGCTGTGGCCTGAAAGGGTGGATGAGGAGTCGGGTGGGAGTTCATGTGGGAAAGCACCAAGGAGCTCACCTGATAAGGGAGGTAGAGAGGCCAGGGAGAGGTGAGGACAAGGCCGAGGAAGTCTCCTCCACACACTGGCAGTGAAACAGCTCCGCCTCAGACAGAGCGGCAGCACCAGAGGGTGGGCTACAATGCAGATGGCCAGGCCCACGCAGCGTCTCTGAGTGTGGAACTAGGGCGGAGCCTGGGAACCTGCATTTCTAACAAGTTCCAGGCCAGGCTGCTGCCGTTGGCCTGCAGCTACCACCTGGAGAACCGCAGGCATAGGGTGTCACAGAGATCTGCACGGACTAGCCCAGCCTGGGCCTTCTCATGTTGAGCAGGTGCCTTTAGGGGTCAGGCAGGTGTGTAAGTGAACAGAAGGGTCTGAGAGAGAGAGTTTCCGGAGTGGCAAGTCCAGAGGCTATGCCCCACCCACAGGTGCTCAAGTCCAACCGGAACCAGCAACAACCCGGAAGTGGCAGACAGAGCCTTAGCTCAAATCCAAATCCGGCCCCAGTGAGGGCCAGCAGTTGGCGAGTCGGGCTCTGTCTGAACCTCCTCTCAGGTGGGCAGAGGAGGGAGCGCTCTAGCTGTCCCTGTGAGCTGGGCGCCCTTGCCCCTGACCCATTTGCAGACCCCCTCCTCATGTTTCTGCAGAACTGCAGCAGTTCTACAATCACGGAGGCCGACTCCCCGACAGCAGGGTGGTGCTCTGCTTTGGAGAAGAGTTTCCCGACATGGCCCCTTTGCGCTCCAAACTCATCCTTGTGCAGGTAAAAATGGGCAGCTTGTGTCCGTGTCAGCCCTGGGCAGGAGGCAGGGCACTGAGGACTTGGGATGCTCTGGGGTGGACAGTGGCTGCGTGGGTGAGCCCTTCACCTAGAGAGAAACAGATTGCCACCACCTCTGAGTCATCGTCTCACCTGCGGGGACTCTTAAATTCTGAGTTTTTTATTACCTTTTTGGTCTGGTTTCTTTCTTTTAAATAAAAGCTTCGTCTCCAGAAAGAGTCCACCTGTTTAGTTGCCTTAAGTTCTAAGTGATAGGTTAGGGCTTTGCAAGTCCGTATTTGACTATAGTCAAAGGAATCAAATTCTAATGGTGGAATTCTAGTCAGTGGCCAGCGAGGTTGGAGCACTGTTGGGTGTGTACTGGGGGAAGGAGATCTGTATGGTGTGTGTATAGGAGTCTATGCGGGAATACCACCAGCCGTTTCTTTCTACCTGCCTTATTTGGGGTTCCTTCACTTGGGACTCACAAGGAGATTCTGCAGTGGTAACTTTGGACTGGGGTAAGCAGTGAATCTGGCGAGGGCGCTTCCTGCTTCCATCTGACCCTGTGCACGGTTCCCCCAGATTGAGCAGCTCTACGTCCGGCAGCTGGTGGAAGAAGCTGGGAAGAGCTGTGGGGCCGGCTCTCTGCTGCAGGTGCCCGAGGAGCCCCAGCCGGACCAGGTCTTCCGGATGTACTCAGAGATTTGTGCCTCACACCAGAGACCATTTTTCAGAGAAAACCAACAGATCACTGTTTAAATCTCTCCATTTTGCGTCCCACCCCTGCTGCGTCTCACATTTCGTTATTACAATTACTGTTGTAATTATTCAAGGATGACCTGGGCTGAGGCGCCTTCCTTTGCTCTTAATTTAGTAAGGGCGTTCTTTGAGGAGTTGAAATTCAAAGCAAAGTGGTATCACAGCACTGCTGTGTCGGATGAGCACATTAGAAACGTACAACCAAGTGGTCTGGAGGCTGTCACTGTAGCCTGAGAGTCCATGTGGTTCCTGCAGCCTCCCCTCAGTCACCATTGTGATTGACTTCTTGTGCTTTGGGGACAAATGATGTTCCCGAAGACTTGACATTCAATATTAATAGCAAATAGCTGCTTCGAGTAGAGAAAATTGGAGAAGCTGAACAGGCAGGGAACAAGGCTTTAGTTAAGGCTTTAGACTTAAAATTCATAGGCCTGATTCTATGTGAAGTGTGTTTTTATTTTGTCTTTATTTTTAAGCATTTGAATAAGGTTATGCATATTTTAGACTCCAACCTGTGTGTGATAAGTGAAGGCAGAACTCATGGCTTGTTGGAAGGAAGAACTTTATGCCAGGAGAACATCCCCATCTCCAGGTGAACTGGTGTGTTCTTACCTTCAGATGATGGAAACTTCTGCTCTGTGACAGTGGTCTGGAAGTTTGGAGCTCTATGTTTTCGCTGCCATAATTAAATCATCCCAAATACCCCTCTCTTTTCTGCTTTCCAAATAATTTTGCTTTGTTTTAAAAAGAGTTTTCATTTTTAATTTTCCTAATGCTCTGAATCTTTTTATTTTAAAAGTGGGCAAGATATAAATCACAAACTTTCAAAATCACTGTGGATTGCAAGAGCATTTGACTGTGCTACCTTCAGTTCAGTTAGCCGCTGGTAGTGGTTTAGGGTGTGGGCACTGCTAGTGTGGATTGGGAAACTGCAAAAAAGTCATTAGCATCTCAACGTTGACTTGTCCCTGAGGATGCTGGGTGGCTTTTGGACTGCCTTCCAATAACGGCCTTTTAGTTCCTTAATCCCCGATAGTCCTCTTGGTCCCAGATGGCCCCATGCTATGCCAAATGTTGCTCTTCAACCAAGACTGACACCAGGTGGGATTCGCAGTGGAGAAATCGCAGTTTTAGCCCTGAAAGAACTTGCCTTACATATTATCAAATAGAATGCATTTCTCACCCCAAAACTGTGTCAGATTTTCCTAGGAATTCATGATACTGACTAAAAGCCAGGTGCAGAAGGCTCTGGGGCTTTGGCTCAATGGCCTCAGCAGTTCACAACCTCTCACTGACTGTCAGCACGTGGTCTAATGGACTTCACGTCCCACAGCACAGTTCCCGCTTTAGGATCACTTTCCATGTACACACGGTGAGCAAGCAGTTGGCATCTCTTTCTAGAAAGGTGGTGTGTTTTGTTAGCTTGGGGTGTACGTCCTGTGCAGCACCCCGACAGCAGCCATCGCGCACCTCAGCCTGCTGGGTACCTCTAGGAGCACCGCTTCTTGCTGCCCAAGACTTGTTGACTTGGCTGGGTCAGTGTTACAGTCAGTAGAGATCCCAGGCAGGTTTGGGATGTACTTGGGGGATCCATTTGCTTCCCTTCCACTCTTAACCTGGGTGGGGAGAAGAGAGTTTTCTGATTCTTAACTTATTTGCTACCTTGCTTGTGTTACCTCCATCCATTACTCAGAAACTCATGACAAAAGGGAAGGACCAGTCAACCCTTACTCTGAGAAGTGGGAGAGGGTGTTGGGGTTTGAGGATGAGAGTACCCCCAGGTCAGTCCATCTGGTGGCCTTGTAACCACAAATGGAGTCTCTGGTTAGAACCCTGGTGGTTGGAAGAGTTTCTCCTTACTTTTATGAAGGTGGAGGAGGAGCAACATGTAGGGAGAAACAGTCATGATGACCGACCCAAAAGAGTGTTGGAGTGAACATTTGAACGGAGGAAAATGCCAGTAAAAATGGCTTTTCACCATTGGTCAAGACAAAGCAAACATTACATTTTTAAGGATGGCAGATTTGTTTTTTTTGAGGTGTGTTTGTCAGATAAAAACAGGACTTTGTCTCTGGCTCAAATGACTATTAAAATACACATCTTTAATATGCTGAATATTTATTTTTGTATCCATTTAAAAAGTGTATCGATCTGTTTTATTCTTTATTGAAATAAATGCTCTTTTTTTTAAAGTTAATGTGTGCTCTTTTGTTTGAAACTCATTGTGAAATATTTGATCATTTCTACCTGAGTCTAGATTCTTCAAAAGGGGGAATTAAAAAACAATCCTGTGCTGGGTTTTTTTTTTCATAGCCCAAAACAGTAGCAAAAAGGTAAGGGGATTTGTCTAGATCATACAGAATTTCTTGGAGAAAAGTTCAGGGTGGTGTGTCGCACCATGTTCTTAAAGCCCAAGGGTCTGTTTGGGTTTCTGTGAGTTGGTTGACGAGTATGCTTTAGCATAGGCATTGGCACTACGAATACTTCCCTGGAAGCTCCTGGAAATGCTTTGTAGGAGGGTTGCCAGGCAACGGACTTGTCTTTTCATTTCTATACATATTCCTGTTGGCTAGACACTAGGAATACAGTGGAGATGTGAGTGATCCAGGGTGGTCCTCATGCATGGAGCTTGCTCACATTTCATTGGAACATACCCACTGGACAAGGCAGGCTGAAATCTCCCAGTTACAGGCAGGCTGGGATAGCAGCCTGGCCAGACTGAGGGGTGCTCTCCAACACACACCATTACAAAGTAACATGTGTGCTCTTTGTATCATACGAGCCAAGTGAGACTGAGACTGTTCTCATAGCCAGCTTACGGATGGGGAAAGTGAGGCCCAGGTTCTGGCTTGACTGGTGGTGGACCATGTGTGGACTCGGAGGGCAGTTGTTAGGAGAGGCTTTGTGACAAGATGTTACTGCAATATTTGAGCTTGCTGACTTACTGAGACCCCAAGAAACAGCAGCGGTTGAGGAATCACTGACTTTCTTAGAAGATTTGGCGGAGAGGGCCACATTCATTCCTGGGCGCCACAACTAGGAATCCTGTATGTAAGCAAGCTCTTTTCTGTCCAGTGGATTCAGGGCCAAATATGGAAACTCGATGTAGTTTTCGTCTCCTCAGAGTTCAGCACCCGTGTGCAACCAGTTGACAAATCCTTCCTACTCAGCATTGCAGAGGAGGGGATTCGAGGACAAAGCTTCAGTAGTAACCGGGGGTTCTAGGAAACACCGCTGTGGCCTGAGATGTGAACTAACTTTGGAAACATTATCCTCCTCTGAACAGTTCCACTTCTGGGACCTGGAGGACACCTAAGACATCTTGGAAAATGAACAGCCCTTTGCTCTTTGTATTTTAACAAAGTTTCCAGAAATGAAGGCGTTTCAACCATCTCTTCCTGGGGGACCTTTTTCAGTCATTTATGACAGCGTAGAAAGGAGCTCTGGTAGCGTAGAGGTTACGAATCAGGCTGCTAATCTCATGGTCAGCAGTTCAAAACTACCAGCTGTTCCACAGGAGAAAGATGACACATTCTGCTTCCATAAAGATTTATAGCCTTGGAAACCCTGTACAGGGTCGCTGAGTTGGAACCGACTCCATAGCACATAACAACAACAACAGTGTTGTCAAAATCCTTTTGGGGAGTGAGTTTTGTTATTTTCCTTTGTAATGTCCTGTCTAGTTGGCTCAAGATCCCTGGACAAACATCTACAACCTGGGTCCTGAAGATGCTGAGAAAATCTTCCTGAAAGAGACTGGGCAGGCATTGTTACAGGCATACCTTTTCACCACAAGGAAGCAGTTATGGGAAACAGGAAGGAATCACTTGTGAGTGATTTGTCCTGTCTAATACAATGTTTTGCAATGCAGTTACTTGGAAATGTGTTAGAACAGCTTCATCTCTTGTGGAAGGGCAAGGACCATCTGCCCGCTTACCATTCTGATTCCAGTGCTTGGCAAGCAGTGGGGATCAGCTCATGTTTGTTGAGTGAGTGAACAATGAGTAGACATGGAGAGGTCAGGGTTGGGCTAGTAAGGGCAGCCGTTAGTGGGAAAGACCACCACAGAGCTTTCATGGACACTATTGGTCCTAACCAAGGAAGAAGGGCAGTGGAAGATAATGTACTCAAAGCCACCTGGCACATAGTAGGTGCTTAAGAAATCTTAGTTCTCTTCTCCCTACAAAACAAAACAAAAACAAATGAAAAAAGAGTGACTCTGTAGGGTTTCTGGGACATTAAAAATGAGCTTACTAAAGAAATTAATGTTGTGAAAGTGTTACAGCAGAAATTAATATTGTGAAAGTATTCTCAGACCTCTCCCCTCCTTCTAGTCTGCCCAAGAGAAGACTTTAATTGTGAGCTCCTTCCTCTCAGTGGAATCACTGAGCTATATAGGAGAGCAAGGGAGGGAGGCAGCACACAGAAAGAAAATTCTTCAGCAGAGACCTGGGGAGGTTTATGACTTGTACAATGGAGGGGCAGAGATGAGGAAAAGGGTCTTGTGAACATTGTGATGGATATCTGTGTGGATCTACCCCAGGTTTTCCAACTCAGGCAAGGGAAGGGATTGAGCAAATCTGAAATGACATTTTGTTGCTGGTTGATTTGGTCTATTAAGGGAACATTCTTCGGAGATGGAGACCGAGTTCTGTGGCTCCTGCCTGTCTAAAAATTACTCACTTATATCCAGACCTTGGTATGTACTAGTCATCTTTTCTTTCACTTAATCACCTTTTTCTTTTCTTTTTGTAATTTTCACCTTTTGAAAATTACAAGGACCAGCAAAGAATAAGGAAACCTGAACCTAAAACATCCCTCTGGGTAACAATAGGGAGGGACTGTGGCTGTTTTCTTAAACAGCATTTGGGGGCAGAAATCACAGTGCACTGAGCAGCCCCAGATGTTATCTTTCCAGGCAGTATTTCCCCTCCTGCTTCATCGGCAAAAGCCTTTCTCTTGACCTCCTCCCTGCTCCCTGCATCTGAAGCAAGGCATTG